CACACACACACACACACGTACACACGCACAAGCACACACACTCACGTACACACATGTGCACGTATACATAAGCACACGCACACGCACACACGCACCCGCACACACGCCCACACGCACACACTCGAATGGACGCAAAACGTACATGCATACGAACGTATACAGAACACATACGTACACATCCAGAGAGACATGATACAAGATTGCGTGGCACAGCTTTGCTGTTGATCCTAAGCGCTGCGCGCGGGATATGCGCACGCGACAGCGGGGATGTTAAAGTATGAAGCGCTGTCCGCAGTGGAGACGTGCGCCAAATTCGAGGCCCGGCGCACGTCTCCACAGCGGTCAGCGGATGGTCTGTAGTTTTAGAAGATGGCAATGATTATATATGGACGATATTCTAGGAATTGGAGATTATAAAACAAAAATCGCTCAGCCATGCTCCAGATTAGCTGAATCAAAAGGATTAGAATTTAATATGAACAAAACAAATACAATGGTTATAAAATTCATCAACAAAGAAAGGATAGAGAAGGAGATATTAATAGGCAACCAAGTAATCAAAAAATGCACCAAATATTCATACCTACGGGATTTAATTAATGATATAGGAGGTTATAACGATATGATAAGAGTCCGAACTGAAAAATGTAGGTTCATGATAAGGGAAATATTATCATGGGCAGAAGAGCAAAATTATGAAAATCATACTATAGAAGCAAGAGTGAAATTATACGAATGAACTTCTTTCCTAAATAACAGTGAAACATGGACTTAATGGAAGAAGTAAAAATGTTGGAGGATTTCGAAAATGAGTACCTGCGCAAAATAATAATCACGCAGAAAACGCAGAAAATGCATCGCATCGGCCCAAACTCCACGACAGATGGCGCTCTCGCTCATGGGCTCAATCTACGAGTATCCTGAGTGTACGAAGGCGCACTGCATGCAGTTTGACATCGGCCTAGACTGGTACCCGGTCGACAGTTCCACACGCTACACTAACAGCGTCAGTGTAGCGAAGGATACTTGCCGGAGTGAAGGTGGCGAACGGGTACCAGTCTAGCATCGGCCGGGAATTTCATTATTTACGAAAAGTAAACACAGTCGGTATAGGAACTGGTCACGTCGGTGACGCCCCATTCATGCCCATCAACGAAGAAGGCGGGGCTTATTCTGATTATGGAGATGCGAAAATGCAACAGAAGTACGTAGCGCAGTGCGCTAAACGCCGTGTTATTTTCGTTTTTGTGCCAAACTCTATCGTATGAAACCGTTCTAGCCTAGCAGAATGCCCTAGTTCCTGAGATTGGCGATTTGGTACTGTGATGGGTCCCCACCTATACAAATTTCAAAGGGAGGTGCGGCGTAGGCTGTGATTGGAGGACACAAGGTGTCAATCCTCGGCTCGCCTCGGCATCATGGCCGCATCACGTAAAGAGCGTATTAAGTATATATATATATATGTGTTGTGTGTGTGTGTGCCGTGTGGGGTGCGTGTGCTGCGTGGGTCGTGCGTGCGCTGGCGCTCGGCAGCGCGCGCGCGCAGCGCGTTCGTGCGTGTGTGTGTGTGTGTGTGTGTGTGGTTGGGTGGGTGGGTCGTGCGTGTGTGTGTAGTTGAGTGTGTATAGGAACAAGTGGTGCTGTTGATGTTAATACTCGCTGGCCAATATTTTTACACTGTCCCCTGTCACCCTTGTCACATATCAGGAAAATACAATACATGTGTGTTTGTGCGTGTGTGATATGTGCGTGTGGTGTGTGTGCTGTGTGTGTGTGTGTGTGTGCTGTGTGGTGTTGTGTGTGTGTGTGTTCCGTGTGTGTGTGTGTGCGTGTGTGAGTGTGGGCGTGCGTCCGTGCGTGCGTTTGTGCGTTTGTGCGTTCGTGCGTGTGTGTGTGTGTGTGGTGTGTGTGTAGACCGACGTGTTATGAAGTGGGTTGCGTAACGCTATAGACATCTTTGCGCGTCTAGGCGTTTGTTGTTAATGCAACAGTCGACGTGACGACGAGACGCGAAAATTTCTTGGTGTTCTTTCGACGAGACACACACACACACACACGCACACACACACACACACACACACACACACACATACACACACACACACACACACACACACACACACACACACACACACACACACACACACACAGTCACACACACACGACACGCACCACACACATATATATATATATACTTAATGCGCTCTTGATGTGTACGTATGTGTTTTGTATACGTTCGTGTGCATGATACGTTTTGCGTCATTCAGTGGCGCGCGTGTGGCGTGTCGTGTGGTGTTCGGTGCGTGTGTGCGTGTGCGTGTGCGTGTGTGCTCGCGTGTGTGTGGGTTGTGTGTGTGTGTCAGGGGCCGTAAATAAACATAAACAT